CAATTTATTTGGTAGACCCCACTTCTTTTTTGTTTGTCTATTTCTAGTTTGATGTTAACCAATATTGATTTAAGGCTATTTTTATTTATTTCGATGACGTGTATATTAAAATGTTTCAATTTATTTTTAATTTTATAACTAGTGTTTTTGATGAATTTTAAAGCACAAAAGTTCGTTGGTATTGATTTTGGGGGATTGTGGAAAATTCCTGTACGAGTTTTTTATGAAGTAGGTTTTCAATTAATTCTAATTAGTACCCGTTGTTTATTGCAATCTCCTTTATAATATTTAATTCTGTTTTATAATCTTCTTCGGAAAGGGGTATGTTGATTAGTCTGTGTAGTAAACTGTGAAGGGCAGCGATTTTAATTTGAAAAGATTGGTTGAAATAAGCGGGAATGATTGAATCTGTTGTAGTTGGTTTTTTGTATATTTTGAATTTAATTCTATTATTAAATTGAATTTTAAATAGAAAACCCAAATTTTTTTTTATTCTCCAAAAACATTACATACATTTTCTTTGTTATAATTCCTAATAATGTTAACACGTAATTTGTATCTAAAATTTGATGCTATTGGTTTTGTAGTTTTAAAAATAAAATTTACCTAATTGAAATATTTGATAAAATTTTATACATGTGTTAAAAAAACATCATTTTTCGTCATGTTATGCCAAAGAAAATGTAAAGGAATATTGTACTAGTAATATCGATGATTAGCTTACACATAACAAATATTTAATTTTATTAATTAAAACCGATATTGGAATTTTGCACTGACGGACGCTAAGCTTAAGTTCCTGGTCCAAACAAAACAAAGTAACTAGAAATTTAAATTTAATGAAAGGTACAATGATGTTCTTTGTTTCAGTTGGTAGTATTTTCAGGGTTATATCGACCAATAGTAGTTGCGGATTACCCTGAATTACTTTCTCACTTGATGCGATGCATAAAAATCAAGCCATGTCCCTACTCGTTCATTCCCCCTTATTAAAAACATTTACCTATATAAACGTTACAAAATTCACTTGAAAAACATACAACTGTTTAATTCCAACGAATCAAAACACTCAAAAAATCCAAGCCAAGATGTTCAGAACGGTAAGTGCTCTACTTAATTTTCATGTAAACTAATCCAAATAAATACCTTTTGAGAAAGTCAAAAAAAACAGTACCTCATATTAATTAAAATAACAAAAAACAGAAAATGATATCTGTTATTTATAAGTTTTAAGAAACCCCTCAAAATTCGTATTTGCTTTATTTTATTTGATACTGTCTTACATAAATGGACTATAAAACCATGTTATTCCTCTTTATTTTTATCATTAATAGTAAATGTAAATTCTTTATAATTAGGTCTGCGATCCTATTAGAAAAGCAGCTTGAATTTTCTATCATGTTATGTTAAGCTTGTTTATATTTTATTTCCTTACATTTGTTTTTCTCATTTCAATGTTTTGGACTTTAAAACCTAATTGGAGGAAAAAGCTGTGAGGGCATTATGTAATTTTTGTCAAAAACCCAATTTACGTATAATTTACGGACTAAAACACTTACTAGACAAGAATGTTGNCTTGCATTATCCTTTTGCAATAACAGACGCTTATGCAACTTTCTATGCCGTTTTTTGACAAGTGCCGGTTGCAGTGGTCCGAATATTAAATTCCAATAATATTCTGCGTTAATTGTAGTACCTTTTGCCAGATAATCCATAAAAATAATCCCTTCGCAAACCCAGAATGCACTAAGCATTACCTTTCCAAGAGAAGGAACTTCACGCGCCTTCAGTTCTTCCTCCTTCTCGTCTCAGGATTGAAATATGTCAGTGGTTCCTATTAGTCGCCAAAGTTAATCACCGTAACGGGCTAACAGCTTATGAAGTGGGTGAAGTATCAGTTCTATTGAGTTTCTGTTCTGGTTCCAACAGTCTTGGCACCGAGCGTGTCGAAACTTTGCTAACGCCCAAATAATCATGCAAGATGTCATGAACTTGTCGTGTACCTATCCCTAGGCGCATACTAATTTGAGGAATAGTCATTCGCCTGTCCTCTTTCAGTAGATCTTCGACGGCGGTAATGTATCTTTCAATTACCAACGTCCTTAGACGCCCACTGCGTGAATCGTCTTCTAGTGATGTTCTACCAGTTTTAAAACGATCGATCCACCGATAGACAATACTTTTGGATTCAACAGACTTACCAAATATTTCTTGCAGACGCTGTATAATTTATGATGTTTTCTATATTATATCATTATTGCTCTTAGAAATTTTGCCATGGTTATAAAAACAGTGCTATGAAAACGCGTTTATATCAGTCGAAAACCTAAATCAGACTGAAGAATACGTACTTCACTAGATAGTTGCATAGACATGTCAAGACTTGTCTGGCACCAATAACATTGTCTATAAGTTCTGCGTGATTTAATTGTAGCACAATTCTTAGAACTTTGGAAACTCGTACTTAGAGATATTTATCGTGCACCTTCATCATCATCATAAGGTCGTCAGTCCTAAGACTGGTTGGACACGTACCTCCACTCTTTCCTATCCTGAGCTAAACTTCGCATTTCCCTAAAACTTGAACAACCCACATCCTTAACTACTGTCGAACAGTAATCTAATCTAGGTCTACCTCTACCCCTCCTAACTTCCGTTTCTGCCTCTAATATGTCTCTGACTAGACCTTCATGCCTGAGGAGGTGTCCTTCCAACCTATCTCGCCTTTTTCTTATTGACTTCCATAGAGTCCTCTGTTCTCCTATTCCTTCTAATACCTAAATGAAATTCATAAGGTTCGGGAATTAACTGCAAAAAAAAATGGTTTTAGGAACTTCTCGAAAAATATTTATTTGTATTTGTTAGTTGACCGTGCGGATCCCAAGGATCTCACCTTGTTCACTAGTAGAAATCAAGCTTATCCTTTACTTTCGTTTTTAGAATATATTTGCACAAATGCTAAAATTTAATCACAACATGAAATTTATGTAAACTGGAAATCCTGAAAGTATTTTTATACGTAATCTTGGTGGTTGCAGAACCTATTTGAATACAATTGCTACGTGGATAAATTATAAAGTTTTGCTGTTAACATAAATACTGCATTTCTACTGTAAATGAGGCCGATCATGTAATCATAATGAAAACGATATTGTTTAAATCTTCACTACAGAAGGAAAATGTGGTTGGCTATTACACTCATATCTTTACACTGTAATTTAATTGTTTTAGAAAGAACGAATTAAATATTTAAACTTTCGATGATGTATTCTCGATTAAACATTTTCAATAATAAAGGAAAATAAAGGAAAAGATGTTTCAACAAAACTGTTTATTCCTCGACAATTGTTTCGACCTCTAAAAGGTCATTTTCAAGAGTACAATAATAACTAAGGCTAAGATGTTAAACATGAGCTTTTATACATAAATAAATTATAAACTGGGGGTAAACAGAAACAATTAGAATTGTGTGATTATTAATGGAGTGTTGTATATATTTATTTCTTTGTGATTATTAACTAAATCTTTACAATTTAGGATGGCATTTGTATTTCCAGATTTTCTAGTAACGTGAGTTTTTTACCTTTTGATTGAGTATTGAGCGAAATTTTCCACAACTTGGGGCGATGTGAATATTACATAATTCTGCAAAGTGGTAGTTGGGCTGCTTCTGCGTGCAGCAACAGAAATATCATTTTACCGTCGAATTATAAAACGGGCCACCTCGTAAAGCACTATTTGGAACTGCTTTTTCTGTTGGATTATATTCTCCTTGTCACATAATAATTTATTGGCGCCTCCTTACAAAGCTAAATTCGTTCAATCCATTAGATAAATGCACTTTGGGTCAAACATCAAGGGTAAGCGTGCAATAAACGGCGCTAAACAAACAGTTTTAAAAAACTCCATTAAGAATCTGTCAAGCAACTACAGATAGGTTCGTAGCCAGAATCACTTGACTGCTACTTTGAGTAATGGGTCAGCTTTTCAAAAATATAAGATGCTGTAAAATGGCTTACATTTGTGCTAGAAGCAATGTATTGTTAGAATGGCTATTCTGTGTAAATGGTACCTTTGAGAAAAGCTAATCTGTGCATGTGCCAGACAACAAAAATTCTACAACACTTCTTTTTGTTTCAAACTGATTTGGAGTATTTATTAAAAACAGATAATTAAAAAGTTAAATATTAACGTTGTTTTGATTTTTCATCATACATGTTTAGTTAGTTATACTTTCCTCAATTCAACTGTCATTTGCAATCCAACCCGCAGTTTATTTTAGCACTTTTTGAGAAGCAAAATAGTTAAACTTAAGTACCATCGCACATTAACATACGGTGCTCTTCTGAGATTTTGTAAGCGTTTACAACCACATCGTTTTAGTTTCAACTCGTTTTCGCTAAGTGACGAAGTGTTGTTAATTTTGCGGTTTAGAAGAAAGAAATCCATTGTAATTAAATTGGTTGTATATACTTTGTATGGACCATTAGAGCAAAAGCTCACTTTGACCACCACCTTGCCATTACTTCTGGAATTCAGAATTGGAAAAGGATATAATTTACATTGCTAAAGCCGTTTTTGTCACTGTATAATATACGTATTTTTTACTTACCTAATATAACATACAGGAAAGCGTATGTCGAATACTCAATTTCGGTATGTGTGGATTGGAACGGTGCTCATATTATTTGTCAACACACCTGAATCTTTGCTCACCTATTACAAAACAAAGGAAAAACAAAGTTCAAGCGTGATGACACTTCTAAATCGGCTAAGTAATCTTGATAGAATTGTAAAGCCGTAAAGCTATGAATATGTAAATAACTAGATAAGTAGTTAGTATAATTATTAGATAAATACATATATTACGTTAATAACTAATACAAAGAATACAACCATTAAGTATATGTAATACTAGCCGTAACCTGCTCGCTTTGCTGAGTAAAACCCTTTTCAATTTTTTAAAATGCCGAAATAGGTGATCAAAAAAAAAAGTCGTTAGTCCTGAGACTGTTTGGACACGTACCTCCACTCTTTCCTATCCTGAGCTAATCTTGGTATTTCCTTAAAACTAGAAGAACCCACATCATTAACTATTTGCGAACAGTAATCTAACGTAGGTCTGCCTCTACCCCTCCTAACTCCTGTTTCTGCCTCTAATATGTCTCTGACTAGAACTTTATCTCTGAGGTGTCCTACCAACTTACTCGCCTATTTTTTGTTGACTTTCATAGACTCCTCTGTTCTCCTATTCTTTCTAATACCTCTTCATTTCTAACCTTTTCTACCCACGTTATCCTCATCATTCACCTATAAACACATTTCGAAAGCANGGAGCATTAAACTTATTAAGAAATAAAAAAATTAAAATTTTCGATAATTACTTACATATTTTTGTATTTTCAGATCGTACTTTTCGCTATCTTTGCTTTCGCCGTTGCTGTTCCAGCACCTGAAGCTAAGGCTGCTCCAGAGCCTAAAGCTAAACCAGGAGTCGCCATTGCTGCTCCATTACTGTCTGCGTATAGCGCTCCCCTTGTTGCTGCTCCCGCTTACTCATACGGTTATTCAACGTACGCTGCATCTCCCTATGCCTACGCGGCTCCTTACGCTTACCCAGCTGGTTACTCAGCCCCTATTGTTTATGCATAAGATGTTATTATTGTTGCAATGAAATAAATGACTAATTATCAGTAAATTTGTTGATTATTTTCATTATTCTTAAATGTAGGATTAATTCAGTTTAAAAAAGAATGTATTTTCTTATAAATACACTTTATTTTCTTGTTAATAAGAAACTCTTATAAAGAATATAAATATCCACTTACCGTATCTTTAGCAAGGAACTACGAAATACGAAACAGCCCGCAAAATAAGATCGAATTATTTAGTGTGCTAATAAATGCGTATAATCCAAAATTCTTAGAAAACCATTCGAAAAACTTATTAGGTGAACCCAAAGCTAAAAAAACTATTGATTCCATTTTTTTCTCTTATTACAATGTGTGAAAGATCAGAAACAAAATGGGGTTGTAAATACTTTCATATAAAATGATTGATGTTCATTTCACATCAATAAAATAAGTTGCAACCCTATTTTGGCTCTGATATTTCAGGCTAAACAAACTATTCTGGCATCAGTGTCTTTTTTCCAATTAAAACGGGTGACAATGGCAAATAAGGAAGCATATAGAAGAACTATTTGTTGCTGAACTAAAGAAACTATAACATAAAGATAGAAAAACTATATCTCAATCACTTCAAACAGAAAAATATAAATCATACTCAATCTTCGCAGCTAGTGATATAGTGCAAACACCACTATTGGTCTAGAAATGAGCAATTGCCTACAACGTTTTCTTAAAAAATATTTTATACCTACTTAAGTAAATGTAGAAAATTAAATGGGTATTTTTTTGAAAAAAGTATTTTGAAAATACATATTTTGCATTTAGCATTTATAATTCGAAATGGAAATCTATCTAATAAATCAAAAAACTATTTGCATTTTGTATTTAAAAAATTTTAAAAAACGTTTTGCACATCTACACAAATAACTTATTGATTTCTTGTAGGTTACATCTAAATGGCACTAAATCCGTTAAAACAACGCTCTCTTTATCTGTAATTGATGATTTATTAATTGATTGTAGACTGTGGGATTCGAGTCGAAGATTGAAGTTTGGATATAAACTCTCATTCAACAACTTGAAAACTAGATCGAAGAAGTGAATCCGTCGATACAATTGTTTGTCAAGAAGCTCAAAGTTGGTAAACCAACTACTACAAGATATGAAATCAACAAAACATATGAAAAAACAATCGAGTCAACTTGAACGTTGGCGTCCCATTGTTTATATTCAACGTTATAAATTACCCACGCATCAAATAAATCATTGTTTTTCGAACGATTTGGTAATATTGCCCTGAACATGGATAGATCGTACATTTTATTTTATTGTTCGTGAAGTAACACAATAATTCTTCTAATTGTAACTAATTTTAAATCTTACAAGGAAAAAATATGTAAGTATTACGGTTGTAAAAATTATCAGTCCACATGTAGGAAATGTAAGCAAGTATATGTATAATAAAATGGAATAAACCAGTGGGTAACCTATGAAAGAAAATGTATAATACAATTTGTGGGCTGTGGGTCAAGCCGGACATACATTATTCTGATTTATGGCTTTTACATAATAGTGGTAATTATACTATTTAATCAAGTTACATTAAATATCCTAATTCATTTCATTTGTAAACAAAAATATTTTTTATACCAAATTCATTATCAAGGCTACTTT